CTGGGGGGTGGGGCTCAGGAGGTGGCGCATCGACCCCCGACCGCCCATCCATCGCCAACAGCGGCCTCAAAGCCCACCCCGCCCAGGAGCGTGCGGACTCGCGATCGGGGGCCCATCGCCGATCCATGGGCCATGTCTCGCCGATTCCAGCTGGCCGTTTCCCCCCCCCCCTGGAGCCGGTTTCCCCCTAACGTGGCCCCTCAAGCTTGCCGGGAAAGGCCCTGTGTCTCAGCCTCCCTTCTTCCCTCCCCACCTCCTCTTTCGGGCCAGTGCCAGGGGGGTCACCATCAGGGAGGTCCACCACCTCCTCTTGAAGATCGAGCGTGGAGGAGGAGGGAGGATCGAGGATCGAGGAAGGTTTTCCACGCACCCCACTTCTGCCCCTGCCTCTCACCTTCACGCCCTCCCCTCGCTATTTGCTTCTGCTCTCGGCTACCTGAGGCCCCGCCCCACAAGTTCAGGCGTGCGTTGTTTGAAGGCCGTCTCCCAGGGAGCGGCGCCCCTCAGTAGTGAGTCAGGCGATCGCAAACATGGATCAAGGGGGCGTGCATTAGCAACGGGTCCCGTGTCCATGGGAAACCGCGGACTTCCGCCGCCGAACGCGGCGGCACTGGCCGCCTGCTGGGGAGGGCACCTCCCCCGATCCATGGATCTGGCGACCGCGCGCCAGATCCATGGACCGCGAATCCACGCTTGCGCGCCCCCGAGTGAAGCGCGCGCGCCCCCCCCCTCGGCATCGCTCGGACGTGTGCATTTTTTTCCTTCGGCGAGGACCCTCGAGGAGCATCCTTGATCCTTTGGCGAAGAAACTACGCACGAAACCAAAAACAACACAGGGAACGGACGTCCGAGCGATGGCCAGCCCCCTGTGGCCTCGGCGGGCGTGTCCCCAGGCTTGGCAGGAGCCTCGGCGCTGCCGCGGCTGCTCTCCCCCCGCCCCGTGCCGCGCGCGCCCCGTGCCTGCCTGCACTCGGCGGCTGCCTTGGAGGTGTTCCTCCTCCTCCTCCTCCTCCTCCTCCTCCTCCTCCTCCTCCTCCTCCTCCTCCTCCTCCTCCTCCTCCTCCTCCTCCTCCTCCTCCTCCTCCTCCTCCTCCTCCTCCTCCTCCTCCTCCTCCTCCTCCTCCTCCTCCTCCCCCTCCCCCTCCCCCTCCTCCTCCTCTTCCTCCTCCTCCTGGAAGAGGCGGCTGCTACGGCGCCAGGCCGACGTGTGACGCATCCGAGATGGCTCGGGCGAGGCCTCCTACAGACGGCATGGGCGCTCGCAGAGCGGGCCGAGCAGGGGTATACGTACGCCTCGGTCGTTGAAGGTAGGCACTTCTGGATCCCCAGGACGCAATTTACTTCAAGCGCCTTCCTGCCTCAAGAATCGAGATGGTTTGGCTGCTGCCTGTTTTTTTTGGGGCGGGCCCGAGCCCAATTTACTTCATCCGCCTTCCCACTTCATGCTTTCACCTCTCTCTTCCGACCGGTGTGTATACGAATGAGTTTCATGATGAGGTGAGGACATCGGCGCTGCTGCGTGGAGGAATCCCGCTGCCCGGCGAGGGCCTGGAGCCTCTCCAGGCTGGCCTCGGAGGCCAGCATCGTGGGGGGAATTTCTTGGTTCAAAGATGTTGTAACGTTTCAACGTTGTAGCGAAATTGGTGTTTCAACGATTGTTGGTTCAACGATGTTGTTTCAACAGAATCAACGGCATTGATCCAACGATGTAGTTACGTTTTCGCTTCTCCGTTTCCGCCAGGCTCTGGAGGCTTCCGGATGGTTCAAGAGAGGCTTCAGGAGGGCCCAGGAGGAGCACAGGACGGTTCCCAAGAGCAGCCGAGAGATGCGTTTGATATGACCCCAAGAGGGCCCCAAGAGGGCCTCAGCTCCCTTCAAGTTGCGCGACAAAAGAAGCCGACAGGCATGTTGCAATTCAGTGCTTTGGGCTGGTCTGCTGTACGGGACTGGCCTTGCGGCGCGGTGTCAAGGGGAGCGGAGATCCCCTCCCCTGGGGTAGAGGAAGAGGGTGGCTTTTGGAATAGAGATGGACAGAAGAGCGCTATGCCACCTCCGTCGGGAGGGCTGGCGGAATCCAGAAGCATCCCGCGTGCGCCAGTTTGAGCCAAGGTTGTTGCCTCTCCGTCGTCGGCTGCGCCCCTGCCCTTCCTTCTTCGCCCCCCCGTGCAGGCGGTGGCCGCGGCAGCGCCGCCGGGGTTCCTGTCGGCGCCCGCGTCCATGGCAAGGTTCGGCGGCGAGCGAGGGGGGGAAGTTGCAGGCAATACTTATATCCATATCCAGAGCGTCGTGCACTTGTTGGGAAGGGGTGCCGCAAGGCCGAGGCACACTGGATATGAATAAAAATCGAACCTTCTGGGGCAAGATTTTTATCGATATCCAGTGCGCCTCCGGTTTCTGGGGAAGAGAGCCCAAAGCTCCAAGACGCACTGGATGTGGATATAACTATTTCCCGCAGAAGTGAGAAGGGGCGGTCCTTCTCAGAAGGCTCGGAAGTCCCTAGGCCTTCTGGGAAGTTTTCTCGGCCTTCCCCGGAGACAGCCACTTTTTTTTAGACGGCGCGAGGGCTTCTGAGAAGTCCCGCCGCCTTCTGAGACGGCCTTATCCTTCTCACTCCCCCCCCTCGCTCGCCGCCGGAAGGTTCATGCCGGCGCCCGTGTCCATGGCAGGCTTCATGCCAGCGGCCGACTTCGGCGACGGCGGTAGCTGCTGCGGGAGCCAGAACAATTGGGCCGCGCCTGGAGAGGGGCGGGACTTCTCTCTCGCCACGGAGGAAGCGGGTCCTGCGGGAAGCGGGCCCCTGACATTTTTGTTCGCCATGTTGGGGTTTTCCTGCGTGGGGTCTCCTTCGCCACGGCGGAAGCGTTCGGTAGCAAATCATGGGAGCCTAGTGCACCCTTTTAGTTCCGTCTCGAGCGTCAACCAGCGTCGATTAGCGTCTGGGAGTCGATGAGATAGCGCCGCGTCGATTTGGCGTCGATGAGCGTTGATTTAGCGTTGACTAGCGTCGATTCGCAAGAACCGGCAAGATGGTATGGGAGGCTCCCGCGAGTTGCCACCGAAGACGCGGCCCTGAGGGAAACGGGTCCTGGCGTCTTGCACCGTTTTTAGCTTCGCCCTGCGCCCTCCGCGGTCGTCGGGACTGTCAGAAGGACGGTGCGGAATGAGAGGCCTGTCCTGAGGAAGGACCCGTGGCTTGGCATCGCTCGGACGTGTGGATTTTTCCTTCGGCGAGGACCATCAAGGAGCATCCTTGATCATTTGGCGGAAACACCACGCACGAAACCGAAAAAAGCACAGGGAATGAGCGTGAATTACCTATCCCGCTTTCGCTTCCAGGCAAAACCAAGCCATACCACGCGCCTCCTCGTCAAGCGGCCTGACCAGTACAGGCAGCAATTTGGCATCGCTTGGTATCTCTTGGAAGCGAGGGTGGTCAAAAGCGAGGTGGGTTTGTTTTCCCCCTATTTCTTCGGGGCCCGCTTCCCTCGTCGTGTGAACTGTCTTTTCGTCGGAGGATCGGTCTGCCAGTGCTCGGCGCTTTGCTGTCTACGCAGGGCGGTGCGCGCCCGCCGCTGCGAGTTTTTTTTGTCCGGAGGCCCTCCCGCTGCCCTGGCTTCCCCGACATGGGGAAAGGGGGGGGCGAATCAAGGGAAGGGCCCACTCCCTGAGGGAGTGGGGGGGGTCTCTGGGGCGGGTCGAGGACGGTGTGGAGAGGGGGCAGGAGGTTCGGCGGCGAAGCCAGGGGTGAATGCAGAGGGGGCGGGCCTTCCAGAGGGCTCGGAAGGGGGGGCGAGGAAGGGAAGGGACCACTCCCTGAGGGAGTGGGGGGGGTCTCTGGGGCGGGTTGAGGACGGTGTCTCGGCCTCGCTCGGACGTGTGCATTTCTCCTTCGGCGAGGACCATCGAGGAGCATCCTTGATCATTTGGCGACACAACCACGCACGGAACCGAGCAAAAACACAGGGAATGGACGTGCGAGCAATGGCCAGGTGTGGAGAGGGGGCAGGAGGTTCGGCGGCGTGCCCAGGGGCGAATGCAGAGGGGGCGGGCCTTCCCAGCGGGCTCGGAAGGCCGCCGGCCCCTGAAGAAGTTCAGGAGGGGAAAAAACACAGACACAATGAATCATCGATTCCAAGGGAAATATAGAAAAATATGGGAAGTGGGGGGGAAGACAAAAACCCAGGAAATATGGGAAAATATGGGGAATCTTGTTATTTGTGTCTATTTATTTGTGTGTCCCAGGGTCCCTTCAGAAGTGCCCTAAGCTTTATCTCCGAAGACAGAGGCGGCTGTGCAGAGGCTTGGAGGGCTTCCGAGAAACCCCGCCGCCTTCTGAGAAGGCTTGCCCCCTGCCACTTCCCCCCAGCGCGCCGCCGAGAGGCGGGATCGGCGGGAAGGAGGGGCGGTCTCCAGGAGGTGCGGCGGAAACCGCGCGCGGACCATCAGACTGCCCGCTCTGCTTGGGGGGGAGGTTGTCCGACGACCGCCTCGACGTGCTCCCCCCCCTCTCTAACTCCCCCCCCCGTCCCCCCCGCTTGACCCAGTCCTGTTGTCCAGCAGAGGGGTGTTCATGAGTTCTTCGCCGTGGCGCTCGGCCTCAACGTGGTGGTGTCCGTGGCGTTCAGGGGAGAGGCTCTCTTTGATATGACACCGTCATGGCGTCCACCCCCACCCCGTTCTCCTCTGCTTCTCTTCCTGATCAGCTGTCCAACGAGCTCCCCGCTTCTCCTCTCCCCTCCCCATTTTCCCTCCGCTGGCCAGTGAGCTACCGTCGCTCCCGCCTCGAAGGGCGACAACCGTACATGTCCACCTCGTACCTTCCCCTAACCCCATAACCGCTCCCTGGAAGGGAGGACGCAGCCAGAGGTCGGAGGGTAGATGTGCGAGGACGGAGGTGGACCTGTGTGAGTGTCAGACTCCTGCCAGGAGGTGGACCTGTGTGAATGTTCGTTGCCCGCCCGTTCCCTCTTCGTTTCCCCTCCCATCCCGCTGGCCCGACTTGCTATCAGAGGATGGGGGGGGCTTCCTGAGCTGTGGTGAAGGCCTGATCAGACGATCGACTGCAGGTATCCCGAGGTCTAAGAACCAGCGAAACCATGAGCGACAGAAGAGCACGGGGAGGACCTCGCGGACACTCGCGCGTAAGCTTCCCGCGTAAGGCCGCGGGTCAGCGCCATCTTCCTCGCGCGGTGTGCCACGCTGGCGTCCCGCGTTAGCCGCGGCGCACGGTCGCTATCTCTTCTCGCGTGAGTGGCCGAAAGTGTGTGCTTACGCAGAATGTTTCTGTTGGAGGTCCGCCCACACCAGCGACGGCACAGGGTGCGCCTCGAAGCCTCAACGCTGCAGCCAAAGCGTCCGAAGAGAGCGGCCCCATGGACCATGTGTTATTCGTTGATCGTCGCGGCGTCAGCAGCAAGAGCTGGAAGTGTAGGAGGAGTAATCGGAAGAAGCCAGCAAGTCAGCAGGAGCCCATCCGATCCAACAGGAGAAGCAGACCCAGATATCCGACGTCGTCTTGATTTGTCGAATACGGGATCTCCAGGATCTTCCGACCCTTTCACCGGGGCCGGCGGGCTCCTCATCCTGAGACACCTTTTGACGGTCTCGGGCTCTGGCGAGGGCCCCCATGGACCGTAATTGGCCAAACATTTGTCGCCGTGACGTCTTCACGGCGAGTGTGGGCCGTAACTGGCCAAACGTTTGTTGTCGTGACGTCTTCACGACGCGAGCTTGCCTGGGGAAAGAGCGGCAAGAGGACGAGGACCTGCATGGAAGTAGGGCTTTTCTTTTATGATTTGGCGCGCAACGCTCGCTACGCGGGCCACGCCGTCCATCCCCCCCTCGGGTAACGGCAGCGATACCCGTCGGTCGTTGAACGTAGGTGTTTTTTTGGGTTCCCAGAACCCGATCTATTTCAAACGCCTTCCTGCTTTTAGAACGGATATGCTTTTGCTGCGTCCTGTTATTTTTGGGCGGGCCCGCACCCAATCTGCTCTGTCCGCCTTCCTACTCCATGCTTCTGCCTACTTCTCCCGACCGATGTGTAGAGCGCAGCGCCCCCCCCCCTCCACATGCCGGAGCTCGCGCGCAAGCTGCGGCGGTCGCCGCGCAGCCCGCCGCCGCGACGTGCGCCCCCCCAGCCCAAGCGTGTTGCCGTCTACCCGGGGCCCCAAACCCGCTCCCCCTTCCTCTCGGGTAGCGAGTGCGACCCAGGAGTAGCAACAGACAAGCAGTGGCGAAGCGCCCTGACCTGCCTGCAGGCCCACCGAAGCGAAGCATGTTCTGAGAGCCTTTTTATGGTCTGCGCGAGTTGCTCTTCGAACTTCTCTGGCCGAGACTGTCTTGTCTGCTCTGGGAACATGTGTTTTTGCTCGCACAACTTTTTGGGGTTCTGAGAACATGTCGTGGTGGGCCTCTAGAAAAATGCCAGGGCGGTCGGCCCCTGCTCAAGACCGCAAGCTCATGGATCGGGACGATCGGAATGGGTACGGAACGAATGGGTACGATGCCCAACGGCAGTTCTTGCTCATCAAGCCGCCTGCCCAACAGCGGGAGCTGTCGGTTTGGGACACCGTTTTTCATTGGGCATTGCATCTTTGTTTTCCGTAGCCTCCTCCTCCTCCTCCTCCTCCTCCTCCTCCTCCTCCTCCTCCTCCTCCCCCTCCTCCTCCTCCCCCTCCCCCCCCTCCTCCTGGAGGCCCCTCTCCTGCGCGGCGGCCGCGCCAGGCCGGCTTCCGGGGCCTCGTGTTCTACCCGCAGCCGCGGGACAGCCGCAGCGGAGACTCGTGGCCTCCCCGGCCGCCTGCCGGCCATGGGGGTCTGCGGCGACGACGCAGGGCGCGACAGGCGACGACGACGACGACGAGGACGACGAGGACGACGAGGACGAGGACGAGGACGAGGAGGACGACGACGACGACGACGACGACGACGACGACGACGACGACGACGACGACGACGACGTGCGGCCTCGCGCGGCCGGCAGCAGGGGTCTGCGGCGGCGGCGGCCAGCGACTCGGTGCGGATGGTGGCGCGTGGACTGCGGCAGGCAGCTGTGCCTCGGCGTGCTGTGCCCACCACGCGTCGACGCGGCACGCTGGGGAAACGAGCAATGACATAAACACAAAAACTCGGAGGTCCGCGCGGATTTCTCGGATCCGCTCTGGAACCCCCTGGCGGCGCCTTCGGCGCCGCCCCTGGCGCGCTCCGCGCTCCAGGGAGGGGGGTCCAGCGCCGATCCGAGAAATCCGCGCAGATCTTTGAGTTTTTATTCTTATTTAGCACTCCGCAGATGCGGATAAGAGGGAGGGGGAGGTGGGGACGTCGGCAGTTTGCAAGACTGGAGAAGCCCGCCGCGGGCGCTGATTCTTCGTTAAACCAATGTGAGTAGGTCGCGGGTAAGTCGCAAGCGGGTCGCGGGTGGGTCGTTGGTGGGTCGCTGTTGGGTCGCGGGTGGGTCGCGGGTGTAGAGGACAGAACATCCACCCCATCATAATAACCCCGACAGACGGAGCCGTTCACTAAACGCACACAAGGAATGAATCGAACAGGGCAGGGCTGTTTAGTCAACGCCCAGGGCCGTTTAGTTAACGTCAATTGTCGGGTCCAGGTGGTTTTTCCTCTCTTGAGGATGGGTCGCGGGGGGGGTCGCGGGTGGGTCGCGGGGTAGGTCGCGGGTTGGTCGCGGATGGGTCGCGGATGGGTCGCGGGGTGGGTCGCGGATGGGTCGCGGGTGGGTCGCGGGGTGGGTCGCGGGTGGGTCGCGGATTGGTCGCGGATGGGTCGCGCGGTGGATCGCGGATGGGTCGCGGGATGGATGGGTCGCGGGTGAGTCGCGCTTGGGTTGCGGGTTGGCGGGGTGGGTTTCGGGTGGGTCGCGGGGTGGGTCGCGGGTGGGTCGCGGGGGGGACGACGACAACAAACAAGAACAACAACAACAATGATTTTAAGACCGTTCGCCCTTATATGCTCGAGTGTCCAATAACGCGTCGCCCTCTTCGTTTTCGATCGAACCCCTTTTGGGGGTATACCTTTCTTCCCTGCAGGCCGGGCCCCGGCAAGCGGCGGGGCGGCCTCAGACCGTCGGCCTGGCCAGTGGCAGCGCTGATCGGCGGGGCGACCGCGGACCGTCGACCCGACCCCAAGAGGGACGGACAGTGTACCGAACACGACGTCAACGACGACGACGACGTCGAAGACGATGGCGACGACGACGACGACGACGGCGACGACGAGCGAAAGCGAGAGCGAGAGAGAACGACAGCAGGACCACGAAGGACACGAAGTAGGCCACGAAGGGCGACAGCGGGGACACGAAGGGAATGCGTATGGGGCCACGAAGAGCGCGAACGAGCGGGGGCCACAAAGGGCAGATAATGCGGGGCCACAGAAGGCAACGATGGGGCCACCGAGGGTAGCAACTGGGCCACGTAGGACAGTGAGGGGGCCACAATCGGCGACAGGGGGGCCACGAAGGGCACGCACACAGGGCCACAACGGGCGCGACTCCTGGGTGCCTGGGTGTCGGGAGCGCGGCGCTTGAGCAAATCGCAAGAAATTCCAACGCAAGGGCGCTATCCCTTCAGTAAATTGCAAGCAAGTCTCCAGCGAGAGCGCGACTCCAGAGCGCCGGGGGAGCGATTCCTGTATATATTGTAAGGAAGTCCCAAGCGAGAGCGCGATTCCTGAATAACATGCGAGGAAGTCTCGGGCGGGAGCGGGGGTCCTGGCTAAATTGTAAGGAAGTCTCAAGCGGGAGCCGTTGTTGTTGTAACCTGGGGGCCAGGGGCACAGTTTGAGCAGGAAGATTTTCCCTGTCAAAAAAAACGGGGTGCGAGCGTTGAGGGGCACACTTTGATTGAGAAAAAACACTATGCACCGGTGGGGGGGATCAACAATAATTATTCTTCTGAGGTGAGAATTCAACAACAACGACAACAGCAGCAACAACAACCATATCAGCAACAACACTAACATTTTAAGACTGTTCGCCCGTATCTGCTCGAGTGCCCAATAACGCGTATTTCCCAAACCCTCGATACCCGCCCTCTTCGTCTTCGATCGAACCCGTTTTGGGGGGTACACTTCTCTTCCCTGCAGGCCAGGCCCTGGCAAGCGGCCGGGCGGCCGCGGACCGTCGACCCGACCCCAAGAGGGACGGACAGGGGACCGACGACGACGACGACGTCGACGACGACGACGACGACGGCGACGACGAGCGAAAGCGAGAGCGAGAGAGAACGACAGCAGGACCACGAAGGACACGAAGTAGGCCACGAAGGGCGACAGCGGGGACACGAAGGAAATGCGTATGGGGCTACGAAGAGCGCGAACGAGCGGGGGCCACGAAGGGCAGATAATGCGGGGCCACAGGAGGCAACGATGGGGTCACTGAGGGTAGCAACTGGGCCACGTAGGACAGTGAGGGGGCCACAATCGGCGACAGGGGGGCCACGAAGGGCACGCACACGGGGCCACAACGGGCGCGACTCCTGGGTGCCTGGGTGTCGGGAGCGCGGCGCTTGAGCAAATTGCAAGAAATTCCAACGCAAGGGCGGTATCCCTTCAGTAAATTGCAAGCAAGTCTCCAGCGAGAGCGCGACTCCAGAGCGCCGGGGGAGCGATTCCTGTATATATTGTAAGGAAATCCCCAGCGAGAGCGCGATTCCTGAATAACATGCGAGGAAGTCTCGGGCGGAAGCGGGGGTCCTGGCTAAATTGTTAGGAAGTCTCGGGCAGGAGCCGTTGCCAACGGCACAGTTTGAGCAGGAAGACTTTCCTTGCCAAAAAACAGGGTGCGAGCGTCGAGGGCGCAATTTGATTGAGAAAAAACCGTATGCGCCGGCGGGTGTGAGCAACAATAATTCTAGACGGTTCGCGTAGCCCCACCAGCCCATCCAGAAACGATGCCCAGAGGAATTGCCTCGATCAGGGAAGTGGACAGCACACAGAGAAATTACGAACATAAGAGCCTCGTAGGATGCCTCTTGGGATTGTTTTGGAGGCCTCTTGTAGCGTCTGGAGGGCATCTTGAGGAGGAGGAGGAGGAGGGCGAGCAAAAAGGCCAGAGGTCGCTTGAACGACTTTCGGAGCCTCTTGGGATATCTCTTGGGCGCTTCTTGGAGGCATCTTGGGACGTCTGGGGGTTCTCTTGGCGGTCCTTGGGGGCTCTTGGGCGTCTTGAGTGCCTCGGGGGGGGCCTCTTGGGGACGCTTGGGGCCCTCTTGGGGGCCTCTTGAGGGCCTCTTGGGGCCATCTTGGGGCCATCTTGGAGCCAGTTTGGCGCCACTTGGGGCCTCCTGGGTGCCTCTTGGGGCCATCTTGGAGGAGATCGATCAAAGAAGAGGGGTTCCCTAATTCGCGCCCCCCCTCGGGAACCTCCAGGATCGCCTCCTGGACCTCTCTTGGGGCGTTCTTGGAGCGCTCTTGGGCGCTCTTGGGGTCGTCTTGGGGCTCTCTTGGGCCCCTGTTGGGGCTCTCTTGGGCCCTCTTGGAGCCATCTTGAGACCTCGGATGGCCATCGGAAGCGAACACGCGAGAAGGCACAAATCATTGGTTTTCCTTAGGTTTTTGAAGGATTTTGGCCTCTTTGGAGGCCTCCTTGGGAGGCTCCGTGGCCACTTGGAGTCGTCTTGGGGCGGTCTTGGGGCCTCCTGGAGCATCTTGGGAGCCATCTCGAGCCATCTTGGGGTATCTTGGGCCATCTTAGAGCTCATCTAGGGCTCTCTGAGGCCCTCTTGGAACCATCTTGGGCCATCTTGGACGCTCTAACTACCAGCGGCCCCCCCCGTCCAAGTCCAGTGGAGGGGGTTAGGGGGAGGGGTGAACCACTCCCCTAAGGGGAAGAAGGAGGTTGGAAGAGGAAGCTCCTGAAACCACCTACGCCCAGAGGGCTGGTGGGATTATTCTTCAGAAGTGATAGTTCAACAACAACAACAACAACAACAATTACTAGCACGTGGGGACACTCCGTTCTCACCAGTGCCAGGGTTTTCATAGGAGGCGGGCAATACCCCCACTTTGTGGGGGGGCCGGTTCAAGCTCTACCAAATTTCCAAACGACTCTTCGCCACCACCCACACCCAGCTTCCCGCCCTATGACGTTCGGACACTTCACTTCGTGGCATGCGGACGACCGTGGCTACTATTCAGGGCCCCGCGGCCGACGACGACGGCGTGCGCGCGCGAAGAAAAAACGAATGTGTCCCGCATGGTATTATTTGACAGGGATGATGGCCCTGGCAGGTGCGCAACCGTTGTTGCAGAAGTTCGAAAAAGTTGCTCGCAAAAGCCCGTTTGACAGAAATGTTTAAAAAGTGTTGGGTTTCCTACGAATCCGCAAGAGCGCGCGGGATGAAATTTCGACAATTTTTTTTGAAAAACCATTGGTTTTTTGATGTTTTTATGTTAAAATCGCTACGAAAACTAAGGTTTTGGAAGGATTTCGTCTTGCGCGCGCGAATGTCCACTTTACCTTATTTTTTGCAAGGGATTCTTGAAGTTTGGATTATATTAGAACAAGAAATTTCATTTTATAGTGTTTTTTGCAAGGGAAAGCGGATTACAACAAAACAACCGGATCTGGATCACATCGTTTTACCTGAGGCTTCCTCACGAAAGTGATGAAAATGTGGCTGCGGCCTAGGCGCGGCGGGGGGGGCGCGCACCAGGGGCCCCAACAATAATTATTCTTAAGAAGAAATCATGTTCAACAACAACAACAACAACAACGACAACAGCAGCAACAGCAACAGCAACATCAACAACAACAACACCAACAACAACAACAGCACCATCAACAACAATAGCGTAAAAAAGCAGAAGTCACACCACGAATTCCTTATTCAGCCACGCACGCAGGGACAATGAATGACCGTTCGGCCCCCACACTCTGATATTATTCTTCGTTCCCCTACCCTTTGCCTCCCACATCGCGTGCCGCTCGCAAAGGATGGCGTGTCGCTGGGCCGCAGCCGCGACACGCCAGTAGAGGCCGATCTTGCCATAACAGGTTGTGCATCCGGGGCGGATATCCAGATTGGCTCAGCAGTTCCAGTGGACCGACGCTCTGGGGAAAACGTGGGGCTGATCGGCCATCACTTCGAGCCTCGCAAGCTGAAGGTGTGACTTCTCTTCCTAGGCCTGCGCTGATATGGCCGTAACGTGTTTCGGGCCAGCTTCCTGCAGGCGCAGGCGCAGCTGCGTCGTAGTTGTGGGGTGCACAGTGCTTGTGGCCCTGACGCTGCCAGACGACAGGCAGCGATCATAACAGATGGTCGCAAGCGCTTCGGGCGCAGTCGTCGCACGGAAGCCGCCGTCCCACCCGGCGCTTGGTTGATGATTCGTGATCGAGTTTTCTGTAAAGGGGGGGTGGCTTCATCAAGGCTACCCTTGCATCCCTGCTTCTGTTGCCCCTCTTTAGCAGACACGGACGACTGAGGAGCTCTAAATGGTGAACGGGACGTCGGAGGGTCTTGCATCCCCATCTTGCGTCCTACTTTTGGAGTTTGACTGCAATTGGTTGGGGGGGATGATCGAGGCCTGCAGGATCATCGGCGTCGCCCCAACATACTAGTACTATATGCGCGTCGCCCCCCTGGGGGCGACGCGCGCACCGAGAAATCTTATAGTATATGAGTCGTGGCGGGCGCTCTCTGGCCACGCCGCTCGGGAAACGACATACTACAAGATGGGTATACTAGATGTTCGGGTCGGACGCGCGCCTCCAAGGAGGACATATAGTATTAGTATGTCCCTGAGCGTCCCAGGAGCAGGGCCCTCAAAGCACCTGGCCCCGAGGGTGCACGAACGGCGCGCGCCTTCCTTCACCCGCCGCGCCTGCCGCCCCCTCGTGAGGCAGCCCCCCCGGCGTGGAAGCGGGGGCCGCCGACGGCGGCCCTGGCCCGAGAGGAGGGCGAGGAGACGGCCGGCGCGGGCTGGCGGATCGGGCTCGGTGGAGCTGCCTGCGGGCGGGCTGTCGTCGAGCTCGTGTGCGTCGGTGAGCTCGTCGCGGGAAGACAGGATGCAATTTGTTTGGGGCGGCTGCTGATCGGCCCCTCATGGGATCTGCCCCTCTAGTGAGCACCACCTGGCAGCTGCCCTGGCCCGAGAGGAGGGAGAGGACGGTTGGCACGGGCTGGCGGATCGGGCCGGTGGAGCTGCCTGCGGGCGGGGTGTTGTCGAGCTCGTGTGCGCCAGCGAGCTCGTCGCGGGAAGGCAAGATCTACCAGCCTGGAACATATCCCTATCCCAATGCTGGGCACCTCCTCATCACGATGCCAAGCTTAGGGATTCCCTGGTTTTTTGAGGGCGGATCCCTAGGATTGTCACCGCCTTTTGGCGTGTCAATCTTAGGGATAGGGATAAGTTCGAGGCTGGTAAAAGATGCAATTGTTTGGCGCGGCTGCTGATCGGCCTCTCATGGGATCTGCCCCTCTGGTGAGCACCACCTGGAAGCTGCCCGCGAACTCATTCGCGGTCGGCAGGAGCGCTCGTGTGACCAGCCGTTGTGTGCGTGGGCTCGGCAGCTCCATCCCTCGAAGCTCGGCAGCCAAGGTATGCCTACCATGGAGATGGCAAAGGCCCGCCGCACACCTCTGCCGCTCACGGATCGGCTTCGCTTGGGTCGTTGCAGAAAGAGCCTCAGGAGGAAAAGAAACACACAGACACAATTATTCTTCGATTCCCTCGAAAGTATGGGAAAATATGGGAAGTGGGCTTGAAGACAGACACCCAGAAAATATGTGAAAATCTTGGGAATACATTTATTTGTGTGTATTTAGTTGTGTGTCCTTGGGCCCCTTCAGAGTCGCGCCTTCGAGGGTCGACGGAGCTGACATCTCTGCCTTGGTAGAAGGCCTGCGGGGAAGGCCTTGCGGAAGGCGGCAGAAGCAAAACGAGCCCGCCTCTGCCCGCGGAAGGTCGCGGAAGGCCGACGGAAGTTGGCGGAAGTAATGGATCTGCACGAACGAAATTGGTACAGAAAGAATGGGTACAATGCCCAGCAGCAGTTCCTGTTCATTTTGAACCGGATTCGCTGTCCACGCCGCCGCGGCCTGTGCCCATTCGAGACAGAAGGCCGCCTGCCCAACAGCGGCCGCTGTTGATTTGGGACAACATTTGTTGTTGGGCATTGTACCCGTTTTGTTCCGTACCCATTTCGGGCGGCCAAAATTGGATGGTTTCCTAAGGAAATTCTGTCGGTGTCTTATGTATCCCTTTACTGGCGCCGCGTCGTCCTTGCTCTGACTGGCCTTCTCTCACCGCGCGCCTCTGCTGTGGAGTGTGGGGAACAGGAGGACGAAGATAAGTTTGAGTTGTGATCGGACGAGAGTGAGGGGGTCGGAGCAGATGTGGCGGCCTGCGCAACTTTCGCGATTGGTTACTGGGCCTTGGTGCCATCATCCCCATGCCTGCCGTCTGAGAGGAGTCTGCTTTCGGGTGGCACGAAGAATGGCCTTCTGACTCGAGAGACGTGGGGTAATCGATGCAACCGCGGTGAAGTCCATGTGAACTTTGTAACAAGAGCATAAATATTTTGCCAAGCCAGCCCAGAAGTACGAAGTGTCATTTGGACCTGTGCAGCGACATGCTGTGACTTGGTTTCGGGCAGACGATCGACGTCAGTGGACCCAGCCACGTTGTGAATCGCTTGGAGCTTCCTCGAAAGTGACATCCCTCATGGCAGTGAGCTTCCAATGCTGGCATTGCTTCACATCCATGCGTCGCGCCATGGAGGAGGAGGAGGAGGAGGAGGAGGAGGAGGAGGAGGAGGAGGGGGAGGAGGAGGAGGAGGAGGAGGAGATGGAGGAGGAGCCCCTGCCTTCCTCACTGGGCGAGGCACGACGTCGCCGATCCCGCCCCTCTCCCTGTGCTCCTGCGAGCTTCCCCCACGATCCCTCCCTCTTTCGCGGCGCAGGCGCGTACGAGCGGGTGGAGTCCTACAAGCGGGGGGGGGGAGGTTCCTCCTCCTCCTCGTCCTCGTCGTCCTCCTCCTGTTTCTCTTCCTCCTCCTGCTCCACTGGTCATCCCCTCTTTCATCTTCCTCCACTCTTCCTTTTTGACGTTAGGCAAAATGTCAGCGTCCGGGCTGTTGACCTCGTATTGCAAAATAGATAGAATCCGACATAGTCGCAGAAGAAAGCACAGAAACCTCGGCACACAACAGTGACAAGCATGGTAGCCCTCTAGGCCGCGAAGTACGTGTGCTGAGGTCCGCGGGGTCCTCCTCCTCCTCCTTTTCCTCCTCCTCCTCCTCCTCCTCCTCCTCTGGGTTTCCAGGTTTCCAGGTTTCCCCAGATTGGGACATTAACTTTCAGAGCTCCGCGACGATTTCTTCGGTTGGCGCTGCTCCCCCCCCCCTCCCCCAATGGCGCCGCCTCCAGCGCTGCCTCTGGCGCGCTCCGCGTGCCAGGGAGGGGGACCCTGTGCCGATCCAGCAGATCCGCGGGGACCTCCAACACTGAATGTTCAGGTAGTCGTTTTTGTTCCTCACCCCCTTCTTCCCATCATGTTCCCTCCTTCTCGTCCGTTTCCACATCCATCTCCTCTTCCTCTTCCCCCTCTTCTTCCTCCTCCTCCTCCTCCTCCTCCTCCTCCTCCTTCTCTTCCTCCTCATCCCCCTGCTCCTCCTTCTCCTGCTCCTCCTCTTCCTCCTCCTTCTCCTCTCCATTCTCCCTTTTTTCTCGTCTGCTTTCTCTTTCTCCCCTTGATGTCCATAGTCCCTAATCGTCGTCTGCCTGTTCTCCTCTTCATGCGATGTGTATGGTCCCGCTGCGATTTTCCGCACAATCGGGGCCTCCTTCTTTCCCGTGTCTCCCTCTCCCATCTCAGCGTTCCATCCATCCTCATTCTTATCCCTCCCCCCTCCTGCTCTCGAAGAAAAAAATGTCAATAGCGTGCGAATAGAATGGTATAGAGTCGTGAGAAGGTCGGGTCCAGGGAGGGGGCATCGTCCTCCACCTCCTCCGAATCATTTTCCATCTGTTCCTCCGTCGTCGCAGCTGCCGCCGCCGCCTCCCCGCCGTGATGGGGGCCAGGGACCCGGGACTCTAAAGCGCTGTTGGTGTGGGTGCGATGAGCGGGTTCCAAAGAACAGCTAACAACCACATAGACATACAGTTTCGGAGGTCCGCTTGGATTTCTCGGATCGGCGCTACCCCCCCCCTCCTCCCCCCTGACGGCGCCTCAGGCGCCTCGTTGGCGCGCTCCGCGCGCCAGGGAGGTGGGCCCAGCGCCGATCTGAGAAATCCGCGTGGACACCCGACACTTTGTTCAAGAGACTTACGCCAGTCCGCCGACCCCCAGACTAAGTGAAGAACACATGGGCATTGCTAGGGCGAGTTCTGGTGTAGCATGTCCTACATGACGACATGGGTTGCAGCAAGGTTGAGCTAACGTAAGACCGGGAGGGGGACAGCCAACAGCGCAGTCGCCGCGCATGGAGGCCTCCGCCAAGGTCACACGGGCGCTTGAACTCGACGCTTGGGCAGTTTGCGTTGTTGCCATAATGCGTTGTGGGGCGGTATAGGTTCGATGGAGAGTTTTTGTTTGGTAACGCACGAGAGTGGGAGCACGGGGCCAGGAGTCTGACAAGTGCCCCGCGAGTGCGACAGCCATGGCGGCCTCGAGAACATACACGGAGAAATGAGAGACACAGGAGGATCCCGCTGGGCTTTGTTGGCCTGACCTCCGGGGCGGCGGTGCACGCCGAGTGGTGGCGATGACAGTTCCCCTTGCCCCAGGCCGCTCCTGGGCGACCAGGTTCGGCTTGGCTCTGAAAGTGTAGCCGATGGCGCACGGTCCAGCTACCCCGTCCCCATGCCGTCTCTCGCACCTGGCGGCGAGGGCCCGGCCGTGGCGACGAGGAGCGACGGGGAGGGGGTGGGCACCCCCCGGGTGGTTGGTCCATCTGTCGAGCCACGTCCTTCGGCAGCATAGCCCTCTGCGGCGGCCTGCTGCTCGCCAAGGCGCACGCCTGCTGCCTTCCGTGGGAAAGCTTGCCGTTCGCACGAGCTGACCCCAACGATGTAGCCGATGACGCTTGCACGTTCGTTGCTCCTGCGCGCAGTGCCAATCTCGCTGCCCCTGTTTGCTCTTCTCGGCTCGTCGGCTCCCGCCGCCATTGCACATTCTTCTCGCACGAGCTGGCCCCAGCAGCACTTTAACTGATGAGGTGTTCATGCTGGACTGGCGGGCGCCGACAACCGCGGCTGCCACTGCCTTCCTTCTCGCACCGACAGACACTGCTGCCACTGCCTGCCTTCTCGCAGTGCCAGTCCCTGCTGCCAGTGGCCCTATCAGGTTCGTATCTGATGAAGTCCTGTTGCATCACTACTTAGCACCGGCAACTGTTGCTGCCAGTGACTGCTTTCTCGCACCGACCGTCCCTGCAGCCACTGCTTGCCTTCTCGCACGAGGTGATCTCCGCTGCAAAGTAGCTGGCTCTGTTGCTCCTGCTGGCCACTGGCATCGACAACCGCTGCTGCCACTGCCCGCAATCCCTCACCGACAAACCTGAAGCATCTCTCAGCCGATTGCACGTGGTGATCTGTTTCTTGCGTGGTACCTGAAGGATGTGACACCGAGCTCATGAGAACACCAGTGCTCCCACACCCATGTGCAGTGGATTGGAGGTCCGAGGAGTTCAACTCGAACGTGTTTTGCTATGAGTTCGAGCTCCTGAAGTACGCATAGTCCTGAGTAAACCCCCGACGCGCGCAGCTTCTCATGCGAGGCCATGGCCTCACCCCCCTTGCCCTTAAGGGGCCCGGGCGCATGCCCGCACAGGCGTTCCGTTCCGTTCCGTTCCTCTCATTTGGCATCGCTCAGACGTGCGCATTTTTTCTTCGGCGAGGACCATCGAGGAGCATCCTTGATCATTTGGCGAAAAAACAACACACGAAACCCAAACAAGCACAGGGAATGGACGTCCGAGCGATGGCCAGTCTCACCGTCAGACCATGCTGCCATTGTCAGCCTCCCTGCACGAGCGGGCCCCCGCTGCCAATGCAGCTGCAGACGATGCTCCTGCTGGCCACGTGGCCCCGTCAACCGCTGCCGCCGCTGCCTACCTCCTCGCACCGACTGACCCCTCTGCCACCGCGCGCGTCCCCGCACAGGCTGACCTCCGCTGCAATGCAGCTGACGATGTTGCTCCTTGGCATCGCTCGGACGTTGCCGAGAAAAAACCACGCACGACCCCCCCCAAAAAAAACACAGGGAATGGACGTCCGAGCGATGGCGAGTGTTGCTCTTGCTGGCAAACAGCACCCACACACGCGCTCCCATCACGGCCCGCCTGCTCGCACCGACGGGCCGCGCGCCGTGCTGCCGCGGCCTGCGCTCCTGCCTTCTCGCACGAGCTGGCCCCCGCTACAGTGCCGTTGTAACACACGCTCCGCGTGCGGATCATATATTTAAAATGCAGGGATCTTGTATTAAAGACAACGATGAGCTCATGCATAAATTTATTAATACATTAATCATGTGTTAAGATTCCTATAGTTTAAAACATCCCATGCATTAAAACAACTGCCCTGTACGCTGTAGCTGAACATGTTGTTCCTGCGTGGCTGTTTTCTCGCATTCTCGCGTGGGCAGTCCCTGCTGCAACTGCCTGCCTGCCTTCCCGCACTGCTGCTCGGCCCGGCGTCTCCCGCAGGAGCTGCCCCCCAGCATTGCGGCTGATGACGTTGCCTCGCGCGTTCTCGCCGCACGGACCGCTTCCAGCACTGTACTTGGCGGCGCTGCCGATCTTGGCTGGCCCCTGCTCGCCTGCTTTCGCGCGCACCGTGCTCAACATTAACTATACCTATCGATATGCTGCTCAAGCTTCGTCATGCTTGCATGCTCTTTGGCAGCGGCGCCGCAATTGGCGCCACTGCTCGCCAAGAGGCGGAGCAGGGGCGGGAGGAGGGGAGGAACGACGAGGGGACGGAGTGAACCACGCCGCCTGGCTGGTGCGCGCGCGCTTGATGTCAGCATTGCAGTTGATGGCGTTGGGTGCCACGGTTTGTGATGTCTGCTCTCGCGAGCAGGGCAATTACGAAGTTTGCCTGCGAAACACCTTTGCGCGCACGGTGCACGGGGGAGGGGCCGCTCGGGCGCGAAATGGCGACGGAGGGGAGGAGGAGAAGGAAGCCGAGGACGAGGAAGAGGAGGAGGAGGAGGAGGAGGAGGAGGAGGAGGAGGAGGAGGAGGAGGAGGAGGAGGAGGAAAGGATGAAGAGGAGGAGGAGGAGAGGCAGGAGGAGGAGGAGGAGGAGGAGGAGGAGGAGGAGGAGGAGGAGGAGGAGGGGGAGGCGGAAAAGGAGGAAGAGGATGAGGAGGAGGAGCAGGAGGAGGAGAAGGAGGAAGCTCAGGAGGACGAGGACAAGATGTGTTGGAGCAGGAGGAGCTGGATGATGGGGAGGCCTGAGGACACTTGAAGCCGTACTTGCCGGGCATCCTGGACGCACATGCAAGAGGCCCATCAGGAGAGGGAACATGTTCACCGTAGTTGTTGAGGGCGTCTGAATGTTTTTGTTGGCATGTGGGTTTTTTTAAGGGGTCTTCTTGGGGGTCCTCGGGCGCATGCCTGCGGTTTCGAGGATTTGTTCTGGCGGATGATTCGAAAAATGATATCGGCTTACCTTTGTCGGGCCTTTTCTGAAGGCCTTGCTGGGGTCCTTCAGGGCCTTTTCAGGCGTTTCTTGGGCCGTCTTCGGCGTCTCGTGGGCCGTCTTGGTGCCCTCCTGGGCGGTTCGGGAGCCCTCAGGGCTTGTTAGGTCGCTGGTGCAAAACATTCACGCTTTCATTGCCTTGGAACGATTTTTGGCTCTTGGGACTTTCGTAGAGATCCGTTTGCAACCCTGGTGTGGTCCTCTTGTGCCATATTAGGCGCTTCTTGGTCCGTCTTAGGCGCCTCTTGGGCCGTCTTGGGACTCTCCTTGGCCGTTTGGGGGCCCTCACGGGGATTTCTTGGGTCGCTGGTGGTAACCCAGCACGCTTTCCTTTTGGCAT